GCCATGATTTTAAATTTATTGTACCGAAAGGACATAAAGATATTTTTAGATTTTCTTTTTTCCCCAGGACAATAACTGAATGGAACAAACTCCCAAAAGAAACTGTTTCCAGCCAATCCCTCCGTATTTTTAAAAGCAAACTAACTTAAATTTATTTATAGGTAGTTTTAAATAGTTTTTAATAGTGTTGTATATTTAGTATAGCTTCACTTATTATTATCTTAGGGTTGGCGTGATGTCCTAAACGATTTTACCAACATAACGATATTTAGATTTAGATTTAGATCAATTATTTCTTTTTACTTACCCGCTTAAAATACTATGAGCTTGGCAACGAACTGCTACGTTTTAAACGGTGAGAGGGAGAGAGTCTTCTACGCGACACATGACGTGTTATTTCCAGTTTAGGAGTGATGTTGGATAAACCCAAGTCAACAGTGTAGATCCATTAGTTGGGTAGAAAAATTTTTATTTCGTTCAATTCAAATTTTTCTCTTATATTCTCAAAATGTATTAGCGCTACAGGCGCGTGGTTCATTGGTGCAGTGAATACTTCTCAAAGTGTTAGCACTCAGGGTCCTGCCAAACATGGTTACAGGAACCACAAAGGGTTCCACAACTGCTCATCATTAACTTACTTCTTAAAATATATGAAAGAGAAGTGCCCGTGGCAAATCGTTTTTGCTCATCCAGAGCAGAGGCTAGGCTCCATTTGTGTGTAGCACAGAAAGTTTTGGCGCTACTTCACTATCAGTCTCTTCTTAGTTCCCAGCTCGTACTCGACAACACACTCGAAGGTAACCAATTTTACCAAAAGGTGTTCTTTCACTGGTCCTTGGGAATATTCGTGGTTATTTTGAACACTCTGAGCAGGGTTGAAGACCATTTTCATTGCAAGCAGTACACCGTAGTACATTGATCTCTCTTGAAATCCTTGTTTTTCTTGATCTCTTACTGCCGTGACACTGAGTGCAGTTGATGTATCGAAACCCGCCGCAACTGGGGCATACTCTGCTACTCCTCCTCTAAAAGAAAAATTAAAACAACAATTTTAGAAAAATCTTTCTCTATCCCAACCATACTGACATCGCTTAGTTATTCTATGCTAGGTTATCAGGAACTCTATCACAAAAATAAATATGCTTCATAGATTCTCATAAAGGCCAATAAATTTTGGCTTTTGGTCAAGTCTTGGTTGCGTTAACGCTGCTGTGACAGCTTTACACATCGACCGACCTTGCCGAATTCATTTTGGATACAGTCCACTCGATAACAAATCACTTTCTAGAGAAAGAAAATCTCCAGCTCTTCCTCTTACCGATCAGACCTGAGAGAGCGCCAAAAACTGACCCAATCCCTGTATGCCAGTTACTCCAGTTTCATCCGCAAGCAACATGAAGTAACATTCCATTGAATCGTCTTAGCCCAACCGACTTGAGTTTAATTAATGAGAATTTCTTATTTATTTCTTAGAGGCATTCTGTGCTCGGCTGGGGCAGTTTTTTCGCCACATGTGACTTACAACACTTGATTGAGATGTTCTCGGAAAAAAACATTCAGTCCGTTCAAACTGTAATCCGTCACATGAAATCATTGACTCACCTCAAATTTTTCAAACAAAGTCTTTAGTTTTCCAGTTTCGTTTAGGTGTTCAAGTTCTCTAACACCCTGTTAAAAAGACACGAAAGAAAGGCTACCTTGATAGAGTATCCTTGTGACTTAATAAAACGCTTCTTTGACGGTAGTAAAAAGATCTGGTTTACAATTAAAATAGTAAATTATTGTAATCTTGATCAAGGAAACTATTGGCGGGGGCTTTTCAAACTCGAACTTGTCAATTGGTGTTTAACGTTTGTGATATTAGAGAGTGCATTTATTTTATGGTGGGCATAACACTTGCCAAGATTCATTTAACGAATAGATCAGATATTTGTGACGTACTACTTAACACTGACTTAATGAAGCAGAACGTTCCCACGATGTCTGAAATCTTTTACGTAAAGTCGGGCTACCATCAATTCACATAACCTTGTGAAGATAGGGAACCTGAAATTCTCAAGAAGGAATCGAGTGAGCTGACCGAACAGTGTAGGCACTTTGGTTCGCTTACCCCCAAAGAAACTCCGTTTACAAATACATGAGGAACGGTGGCGTTTTGAATGGCTAACCGCGTGTCAAGCTGACACTGATAGTCTTTGTGCATAAATATGTCGCGCTCATCCACTTTTAGTCCCAAATTGTCAAATAATTTCCTGATGTATGCACACTCCTCCACCGTTGATCGAATTCCTCCCATCGAAGTCGTGTACACGACGATCTTTCCTTCTTCGCTCTCCTGAAAATATCAAGAAAGAAACGTCAAAATATATATATGCAACGTTAGGCATTTCTTGTGTACACGGATATAACTGTTCGCATGAATAATTAATTACGCGCAAATTGCTTTGAGTTGACTTCGTACCTCGAGACTCTCTCCGACAAAACTAAGTCTTAAAATCTCTTTCCGTTCTTTGATCATATTCTTGTATCCACGAACAGTACCAGTAGGCCCAATAATTTCCTTTTTAGAAGAACTCTGAGTCGAGTGACTACCTTGAACGCAGCCATTGCACGGGTTGATTAGCGATGACACTGAACAGTCTCCATTTGAGTGGTTAAAGGACGGGAGCCGGACATTATTTACTGCGCCATGCTTAAGTGACATCTTGTGTGAGCGGAACATCATTAGCACTTTTTTAACATACAAGGAAGACTTCTAGATCAGAAGTTTCCATTCAATCGTGACTCTTAAAATTTTTTGAAGACAGACAACATTGTGACAGGAATAACAGTCCCTCCAATTGAAATATGTTGGTTGTTTTACGTCGGGTCCTTAACTCGTGTCCCACTTTGGCCGAGCAGGCTGAGAACGCCACATTGATCCATGAGAGCTTTCTAATTGGTCAAATTCGTTGTTTTACATTTGCATTGATGATATGTCTATTTGCACGGAATATCATTAGCGGAGTCTGAAGTTTACAAAGGAAAATTCGGCTGACACAAGAGAAGTTTTTCATAATTTTCCTCTGCATTAAGTAATAGGAATCGTTCTAAAGTGTTGCAGTGGTTCCTTAAGCGGCCTTTTTTTCAAAAACTTTTACCTTTTATCTGGTCAAATAAACCAGACAAGGGTAATTAATTGTTTCGCAAGATTAAGGGCTTAAACGCTGTGCGCTGTTGTCTACCACTCGACAAATCTACAATAACCTTACCAAAAACCACATTTCTGACAATAATCAAAAGCAGATTCTAGAGAAGAAAAAAAGAGGAGTATAGCATTTTCAGTGAGGTATTCCAAAAACAGCTGTTTTAAAGATTCTCACTACAATATTAACTGTTTTCTTAAGTAGAAATTTATTGTGATTGATAAGGACACAGCTGTTATAAAAATCCTGCTCTGAAAAAGGGGGTTGCTGAGCTCGTTTTAAAAGCAGAGAAGTTCCTTTGGTGAACTTCGCCAATAATAAAAGCTATCATTTGCATTTTGTTGAGAAGTTGAGATGAGCTTACTCAGGCGTGGAGATAATGCGCATCAAGGATGCGCAATGTAAACAATGAAGTTCCCTAAATGTCTAAAGATGGCTAAATGTCTATAAAGATAACGAGAGCCATGGTATTTCATTTTTCATTTTTTGTGTTCGTTTTACAGGTAACACGGGAGCCGTAGTTTATAGTTATAACTCATTCTAAGGGTGATCGTTTTCGTGACTGAATCCACTAAAACCTGGAAAGTCGGCTGATCAGCCGTGTTTGAATTTATTGAGAATAGGATGGAATGAAGAGAAGATAATGACCGATAATGGAACCACTATTTTCTCTTGACAGGAATGAATTGGGGAGGCCAGAAGGGAGGGAACAGGAAGGACTTGTTCACCACTTTTTCTCGCTCCCTTATCTCTGCTACGCCGAGTTAAAGTTCAGGACTCTCATCATGGACTTCCATAAATCAGAAAAAGGGAATTTTATTTATTTCTTCCCAGATACCTTGACAACTGAAAAGTGGAAGTTTCGCTCTGATTACCCTGAGATACTTACGATGTGATCCCGCTAGCTTGGCTTATTCCCAGGTGCGCAAGTCAGAGTGATCCAGACGACCAACGGCACATGGTGACAATTGCGATTCGCATGTGTAGTATGACCTAGTAGAGGAAGTATAGTGATCGAATTTGTCTTATTGAATTTGAGAGGATCGAGAGCGTTGAAGGAAATACAACTCTGAACAACAATCAATTCCAGAAACAGAGGCCAGACTTAAATCCTCGACGAGAGCCAAAGCAGCTAATGAAGTCTCAGGGCATGCTCTGCATCCCCTCTCCCTTCTCCCATAACATTATTAGTAGTCGGATCACGATCCACAGCAATATGAATAAGATCTCCACACAAAAAATTATTCCATCGCAGATGCATGAAGAGTCTGTACCCAAACTTACAACAAAAAAAACTGTGAAGTGACTCTGAGGATGACTCCGCTCAGGTAGTTTATACAACAGTCACTACTACCAAAGAACAGTCCTTCTCAAGTCACAGCTCATCCTGTTAGGCGGATTCATGCTGACGTCATTATTTACATTTTTGCTCGTTTGCATACGGCTTTGCGTAAAGAAGGAAGCATGTTAGATACAAATTGACTTCAGGCAGCTAAAGAGCTAGAAAACCTTAGTACATGGTGAAAATTTTAGCTCTTTGGGTGTAATATTCAAGGAGAAATAGTCCATCAAAAACTGCAAAATTTCTGGGTGGCAAAAGCGCTAACGAGCTCATACATTCTATGTAAAATTTTGAGTTTTTAAACCCGTGTTGCTCAAAAAGTATTCAATGCATCAGGCTCGTATTCATTGGCCGAGTTAAATGTACTTTGACCTTTCGATATTCAGAACTGATTTATTTTTAGCTCCATCAGAAAAGGCTGAATTGCTTATGAGGCAAATATTGTAAACAAGGATTCCCCTATACTGCTTAGGCGGTCAGTGTTCATCAATAAGGCTTTAAAATGTTTGGATCTGACCTAAAAACGCGAAAAATATTCGTTTCTTTTTTGGAACCCATCACCTTTCATAACACCGTGGCTTCTATTCTTTCTTGCCCTAGTTTAACGTTTTGTCGGTGGTACTTAATAATTGGGTCCTTTATAGACCAAATAAAATTTTGCAATGTCGCTTAAGTCGCCCCAAGTCATATCGCCCGAAACCTGAGTCATGTTGCCCGAAATATTAGTCATGTCGCCCGAAGAAACAAATACTTAAAAGATCAAACATACAGACTGTAAATAAGCAATAAAGTTGAGAAATATTCATCACTAAAGCGCTCTTTGTCTCCGACCTTGAATATTCAAAAAGCGTTGTTCTTTTCTAATAACAGAGGGAAGTGTTGTTCGTTTCTAAAAACAAAATGAAGCGTTGTTGGTTTGGTATATGTGCCCGTTTCGTACTAACGAACGTTTTGTACGCTCAAGAAATTTTATCTACATTGTCTTTATCTACAGACTAAGTAATACTTGACTTTACATTTGACAAAAATTAAGTATCTTATTTTTATGCTTCGTCAGAAGGAAAATTACAATTTATGCCCAGCATTAAGTGGAGCAAATGTTCATTTAGAGAAGTCTTCTTGCGTCAAATACCTTGGTGAGTATATCGACTGTCACCTTACTTGGCGTGACGGCATGTTAACTACGTATGTGGTAAAATGAGCAAAAATTTAAATAAAGTGGTTAAGTTAAAAGCGTTGTTTCAGAAGAAACACTTCTTAGTTTGTATCATTCTCGTATATATCCCTACCCTACTTATGCTTGTACTCTATGAGGAAATAATTATAATGCTTCACCGTCTCAAATCATAAAATTACAAAACAAAGCAGTTCGTATTACAAATGATGTTCCTTTAATAGAATCAGTAATTCCACACTACATATCCCTAAGCCTTTTCAAATTTCCTGATATTGTTAAAATGAACAAATGCATGCTTTTTTTATGATTACTTCCACAATGAAAAGTTTCCTAATATACCTGTTTCACCCGGGGGGTACTCGATATATTCCTGGGTGGGGAGGTGCGGCGCGGCCCCTCATACCCTGACCCTATTTAAGACAAATATCGCTGATTTACCTACCCTGTTTAGGACAGAATTCTGATTTTTGATACCCTGTTTAAGACATTTAATGTGCCTGGTATCAATGCCAAAATCAACGGAATTCAATATTAATTAAAATTAAAGCTTGTAAAAATTTTGCTGTTTATTTTTCAAGAAAAGATATCCTGTTTAAGACAAAAATTGATAAATCGATACCCTGATTAAGACAAAAAATGATAAATTCGATACCGTGTTTAAGACAAAAATCTCGAAAAACATACCCTGGCTGGCCGCACGTCGTACGTCCCCATTAAGCCCTTATAAGGGAGTCCCCCCGGGGATTTTTAAGAGCGCTCATTGCATGAAGTCCTTTTTTCCGTACGAAGATAAGATCAACCGTTCAAAAATGTCAAAGGTTGTTTATAAGGCTAGTTGTCACGGGGACTGCCCGGATTTTTACACTGGAAAAACAAAACGTAGATTGCATGACAGAAAACCTGAACATTTTAAAGGGCTCGCAAGTGCCTCTCATACATCTGCTCATACGTCACGTCAACTGGTCACAACAGACCACGTCACGTCAACTGGTCACAACATGAAATGGGACCACTTTGAGATATTAACAAAAGGTCGTTCTGATACTCATTGCAAGATAAAGGAGACTCTATTAATTCAACAACTTAAACCTACTCTAAACGATAATGTCAGCAGCGATAAGCTTTATCTGTATTAGTTTGCATCTTTGTATATGCAAAATTTTTTCTTTTGTTCACTGTTATGTTAATTAGTTACTTATCTTAAATTTAAACTTAGTCGCCACGTGTATTATTAACTGTCACTTCTGAAGATGTATGTCGAAACATACGAAACGTCAA